AAAAATTGTTTGTAAATTTTATGATAATCAAGGTAGAGAAGTCAAAACGACCACAATGGAATAATTCAGAATGTGTGTGCACATGGGAGTGGTCATGTATGAGGCTGAAAAGTCCTTAAGCTGACCCATTTCTGTAATTTTAGAATCCCCTCTTGGTCAGCGTGAAATCTTTACAGCACCCACTTACACTGGTGTGCAAAACTTTTGGGCTGTCTTGGTAAATTAATTACTTTTGTTAATATTACTCCAAAATTGAGAGTAGTTAGCAGCATACTTTTCTCAATACATTTTATGATCTTTGATGGTTCGAAAAATAAATTACTACATTTTAATTAATAAGATCCATATTTTCTTATTGGCAATTTTGTTTCCATTCTTTTTACTTAGCAGTAATCCCAAACCACTTGAAGATTAGGTGGTTATTGTTGGAGCACTTGTTTCTTCAGTTGCCACCACAATGGTTCAATTATATTGAGATCAGGACTTCATGCTGGCCGGTCTTCCAAAAGCTGAACATCATCTACAAAAATCTTTTCATTGCATGTGATGTGTGGCAAGGAGCACTGTCATGCTGAATTATTTCTCTATTTTTTGTATTAGAAACTTACAATAGTTTAAAGTTTCCAAAAACTTTTGCACAGTACAGTATATTATTAGGCAAAACATTTGAGCCACTTTGGTAAATTAATTACTATTGTTTATTTTAACCCCCAAATTGAGAGTGATTAGCTGCATGCTTTTCTCAGTACATTTTATGATCATTGAGGGCCAGAAAACAAGTTACTGCATTTTAGTTAATGCTGGATGATAGAGCATTTTGAGCAGAGTGAGGCTGAAAAAAAAAGACTATGCAAAAATACTTGACTGCAGTGAAAATTTCACCTCTTGGCTATTTACTAAAGAAAAAAAAAAGCAAGATGTTTTTTTTTTCTTTTTTTTTTTGCAAAACATTATCTTTATTATTACAGTAAGTACAAAACATCAAAAGTTGGGAGTTAGTAATTAGTGTTGATACCTTTTGGCTTGAAAATTTGTGATGTTGAATGCAACAAGGCCCATATTTTCTCATTGAGAATTTTTTCCATTCTTCTTGGCACTAATCCCAAAGCTCTTGAAGATTAGGTGGTTTTTATTGAAGTACTTGTTTCTTCAGTTCACACCACAATGGTTTAATTATATTGAGATCAGGACTTTATATTGGCCAGTCTTCCAAAATCTGAACATCTTCATTCACAAGTAACATATGTTAGAAATAGTCATACTTGATTAACAAGTCAACAGCTATCAAAATTTGGTATGAAAAACTTTTGGGCCACCTTGATAAATGAATTACTTTTGTTAATTTTACTTCAAAATCGAGAGTAATTAGCAGCTTGCTTTTCTCAGTAGCTTTTATGATCTTTGAAAGCCAGAAATCAAGTTATTGCATTTTTATTGATTCCATATGGTGGCTAATAGAGCATCTTAAGCATAGTGATGCTGAAAAAAGGCCATGCAAAAATACTGAGCCACCACCAAGGATGTCACCTTTCAGCTCTAAGTTAAAAAGGAAATCATTTTTGCTTTTTTGCAAAAAGTGATCTGTAACAAGAGAATGCATTTACCTTGCTGGGTGAAGTGGGCACATACCGGTTTGGTGTGTAAATCCAACATGGCTGATGTTGTAAGGGAGCGAGGAGCAGCTATTTGCAATCGTCCCACTACACATACTCTTTTTAATACTATTGGTCATTTGCATGCATGATTAGAAATAGTGATAAATAGTGGATTGCACAGTCAGTCAGATGGGGAGCAAACTTGTAGAGCAAAGAGTGTTTGTTTGGTTGGATCAGAGTGTGTAGAAGTTTCGCTGCGAGAATTGAACCTTGTTGATTCATTGTGCAACCTGTACATTTACGTCCCTTGCTTTTGACCATTGACACCCCCCCCACACCAGATTGTGATTTAACTTAATGATCTTTATTATTGCAGAAAATACAAAATGTCAAAACATGGAGTTAGTAATTAATGTTTGCTACCTTTAGCACTAATGATTGCCTCAATACAATGTGGCATTGGCTGGAACACGGTCCAGATTTTCTTATTGGGAGTTGTTTTGCATTCTTCTTGACAGTAATCCCAAAGCTCTTTGAAGTTGTGTAGTTTCTGTTGGAGCACTTGTTGCATCAGTTCCCACCTCAATTGTTCAATTATATTGAGATCAGGACTTTCAGCTTCATCGACAAGAAACATTTTTGTTACACAGGATGTGTGGCAAGAAGCACTGTCAAGCTGAAAAACTTCTCTATCTCATTAATCCGACAGGAGATTAGGCCATAGTAAACTAATATAGTTTTTACTATTTAAGCTTCTTCCCATGGACATTTGCTTTGTGGAACTAACTCCCTAGGGGATGCTTTACACATCGCTAAAATCTTAACCTATCTAGGGTTAACCATTATCAACCTCACATATTATAGTAAATTGTCACTCTGGGGCCTTGTAGAGGGTGAACATCATTGTGTAAAAAAAAAAAAAAAGTAAAAAATTATTTTCAAATATAAAAAAATAGGAAAACTATATTAAATATTTCTTCTAACATAATATAAAAAGAAAAAAGGATTATTTACACATAGAAAAGTCACCATTACTAAAAAAGGAAAATGTATCTTGCGCAAAATAAACAAATGATGTAGTGTTTTAGTTTGACAGGATTTTTGGTTACACGATTAGTGCTTCTCCTACCCATTGGGTACTCAAATGAAAAAGTTGTCATTTGGTAATCTGAACCAAGAACAACCAATGTAAACCTGGCAATGAGAAAAGCATGGAGGAGTCAGTTTGTGTCTAGTGTTTATTCAAATGTTGTTTTTGTACGTTGTTGATGGTTACTGTAGAACCGAGTCACCCTGTGAATTGAAGTTGAATGGATTCAAAGGGCAAGTCTCTTGGAAATACTTTTTCCCTATCCCATTTAGGATAGCTTTACTTTGCACAAGAAGCTGCTTGGCACCTGCATTGCACAACTTTGGAGAGATTTTTGATGAGCATTTTTCAGTTGTAGCCTGTGTGGAGGAACACCACATAGTAAATGTGACCTGCAGAACTTAGTTCAGTTCTGAACAGCCTCCGAACTGTCAGTTGTGCAGTTGATCCTTCCTAGAAATTTGTTGTAACAGTTTGGAGTTTTTTTTGTTTTTTGTTTTTTAATTGCATCCTTCATTAGAGCAAGTATTGCTTTATTCACAGAACCATGGGTAGTTTCTGTAGTTTGGGTCCTTTTTTTTTTTTTTATTTTTTTAAGCGTTTCACCCCAAGCAAGGCGAGAAGCCACTAGGACGCAAGAGGTTACAGAAAATTTGGAGCAAGATCAGATAGGAGTGATAGAAGAAAGGATGAGAAGGGTAGTGGCTAGATCAAGGCAACTGGAGATGTCGATTGACATTACATTTGAATAGCTGGAGATTATAGCTTTCAGGGAAACTGGAATAGGGAAGGGAGTTCCACAGGCGAGAGGTGCGAGACATGAAGCTATTGGAGTAGAAAAGACAGCTACATTTAGGAGTTTCGACAGTGAAAGGGTGAGAGCGGGATTCCAGCCTCGTAGGGCGCTTGAACTCATGAAGTCTAGGAACCAGTGAATGCAGCTCCTCGGAGCAATTGCCATGAAAGTATTTGTAAAACAAAGAGAGGTGACGGCATGTCTGTGAGAAAGTGACTGTAGTCAAGATGCCAGAGCAGGGCCAATTATATTGCCTCTGGAGCCTATCAAAAACTCTGAGGCAAACAGAAGGGGCTCCAGACCATATATGGCAGCAATACTCCATGCAAGGGCAAACTGTTGATTTGTAGATCTGAAGTTCTGAAAAAAAAATTAGAATTTTGCTTGAAAACATTTTTGATGGACATTTAAATTAAAGGGAAAAGCTATTTTAATCTCAAGTACATCTGTGGTGATCTCCAGTGAATTGAATACCACCACCACCATTCTTACTTGGTCTAGCTGGACTAGGCCAGAGTGTAGGAAATGAATATTACACTTGAGCTACTGGAGACATCCTCCTGGGCATAATCTCTCTTTTTGGAGTGGGTGATTATCTGGCCCCTGAGGCATCCCCAAAAGTTTGTGCCAAGGGGCTTAAGCATTTTTGAACAGCTACCAAATTCCACTTTAAAATTGATCATGTGCTACATTCTGTGTGAGTGAGTGCATGGATAAATACCCATAAAGGTCACAAACCTCTAATGACCTCTGGTGACCTTGGAGGTAGAATTTGACTTTCCCCTTTTCTTTATTTGCTGTACTTTATAGTATGTTCCTTATAATTATATTTTGACATAAATTGATTTATTTGGATAGAAATGGCATTCTATGCTCTTGAATGACTTGCCAAAATCAACCTTATAATGGCTGTCAAAACTGCCTTGTGAGTTTTCATACCATAAAATAAGGTCAGTCAGATTTGACATTTGAGCCTGATAGGGCCACAGTATAGAAACCTCCAGTATTTGTAAGGTATGGTTTAGCTGCATATCAACTTTATGGATCATTTCATGCAAAATTTGGTAGTTTTTCACATCAAGTAATTTTTAATCCTTTTTATTTTCTTCTGTGACTGCTTTGTAAACAGATAGTTTTGGAATGTGAATATTTTGTATTGGTAAACATTTTGTAGAGTTTTTTTTGTGTGTGTGTATGGTATCTACAGGAGTTTAAGAAGAACTATTTCCTTGAAGTCTAGTAACTGAGGAATGGATATTTTGTAAATAGTATCTCGAAGTTTGCTATATTATAGTACTTATAGCATATGTCGGTATATCCTTTAAGAATTTTTTTGAGATAATGAATTATTGATACAAGTCCTACTAATCGACCTATAGCTGGGGTAGAAATGAGGATTCATAAGTTTCATAAGGGTATTTGCACATAAATGAATATAATGAACCTGAGTGAAATTTAGACTCAGGTTTGTGATTTCCAACTCCAAGCCATTATTCATTACACCACCTGTACATTTAAGCTTACAGCACTTGGTATTCCCAAGTGTTCACCCATCTAAGTACTGACCAGGCTCATTGTTGCTTAACTATGGTGATCATACAAGATATGGCTGTAATGTATTATGGCCATAAGCCTCCAGTATTTGTGTGTGTAATATATGTATATATTTCTTATTACTATAAATGTTATTTTTAGTGGATACACATATTCAAGTAGATATGTCTTACTTTTTTTTTTCTTTTTTTTTTTAAACATTGAAACTGACACCTACCTGCCTGGGCAATTGAAAGTCTTATTAATAAAAATGTGCCTCTTCGTATGGAACAAAACTACCCTGCCTGTATACTCAAAAACCACCGTTTACACTCTACATCTTAAACTACTTTTCCACAAGAGATCCCACAGTGAAGCAAGGCTCAGTTACCCTTATTAAGTTCATCTCTCATTGGGAGCATTCAAAACTTGTTTTTACTAATTTTATTTTTGTACCTGAAAAATAAAAAAATTAAATTTTAAGCATGCTTAGAATATTGCTGTCACATATTGTCCAATACCCCTTGAGCTGTATGATAAAATCCAAAGAAGACTCGGCAGTATTATCGGTCCTGATCTGGTGACTTGGCTTCACTCACTTTCCCACCACCATAAAGTTGCTTTTCTGTGTCTTTTCTTTAAATACTTTCATGGTAATTGTTTAGATGATTATTATTAATGGTCCTAATTCTTCCAGATCCAGTAACCACTTGTGTCTTAGTGGCTTTACTGGTTTGTATGGAGTGAAACTGATTAAAAAAAAAAAATTTAAATTAGCTATCAGTTTCACCATTTTTATAAAATAATCTAAGATGTTTACTTGTATATGTGTACCCACTAAAAATACCATTTATACAAAAAGAAATAATGTTGTATTAAAACACACACACCCATTATAATTAGATATAGAGATAATGCCAAAAGTAATACCTCTTATTTTATCATGTTGGCTGTATGGCAAATATAGTTAGCCTTTCTTACTAATAACCCACATTTTTTTCTTTTTACACACAGTTTGTTAGAAACAAAGAAAAGTGTACTGAACTGTCATGTAATAACATTCCTCCTATATGAGGGTGAATGTTGAATAATCTCACAGATGAAGAGACTTGAAGCAACAGAAACGTGATTTTACAGAAGGATGCTGAGAATACCATTGACCAAACTTGTGAGCAATGACAAAATTTTAGAGAAAATGGAAACAAAAAGGACACTTATACTTAACATCAGAAAGAGAGTTGAAATTTCTAGGGCACATAATGTGGAAAGAAGGTTTGGAAAGTTTGATACTTACAGGACATATCTAATCTCCTCTATAACAATGAATGTTTGTTTCTACAGACTGATGCTGATAAAACCATGGACTAAACATGTGAGCAACCAAAAAGCTTCAATGAAAATTGAAACTAAAAGGATATTTATGCCTAGAATCAGAAAGAGACTTGGAATTTCTGGGACACCTAAGTAAAGTGGGCTTGGAGAATTGGACACTCACAAGACAGATTGAAGGCAGTAGGGACAGGAAAATAATGCATAGCCTAACTAGTGAACTTGAGTAAATGGATGATGGAACAAGATTTAGGAGAGATATCAAAAACACAAAATTTATTAAGAACAGGAAATAGTGGAGAGCCATGACCGTCATCGTCCTGAAGGGATATCTATATAGAAGAATTTGACTAGCAGTTTGCCAAAATGTTGTCTGGCATGATAGTGTGTACAAAGCAGAGGTGTGTTATTGTATTCCTCCATGTGGAAAAAATTACACACATTGATATTCATTGATGCTTAATGAATGTTTACAGAAACCAAACAGTGGATGTTATCACAGTGAAGTAATAGATAATGAATTTTGAATAGTGGCATACTGTATGTGACTATAGTTTTGAGCAGGGCATACACCTTCCTGTTCATCACTGGTGAAAATGTAGTGTTAGTGGCCATGTGGCAAAAAGTGTTTTTGTAACTGAAAACTTGCAATAGTATCGTTGTATTACCAGTGTCTGTTATAGTTTCTGTGAAAATAAATGGGAGATGTTACTTTCAGAACGTCCCCCTGTGTAAATGATCGGCAGCTAATCAGCTGCTTACATTTCCATCCATGTTCGATTATGGTACAATGTACACTGTACTAAAGCTACTAATTGCAAATGGTTGATGGATAGACAGGTGGAGTGGCTTTGATTGACTTTTGTAAATCTGTCCACTTCAGTCAGAATAAAGATTTATCTTAGAGTGAATTGACTTGGCAGAAATGGTTGTCTTAATGCAATGCTGATCATCTGTTGAGGTTTCATTTTTTTTTATTTCCTATTTCATATTGATCGATTTCTGCTATATTCTTCTTTAAAGAATTCAACCTTGTGCCTTCATCTTCCTTTTTCTGAACCTGGGTCATCTTTAAGATATCAAAATAAGAACAATGAGGGTATTTGTCCAAATAACAGAATAAAGACAATATTTTATCTCAGGACTTCAGATAACATCAAAGTTTTTTCTCTTTTTATAATATTAATCCATTTTTCAATAAAATGTTTAATTTCATTTGTTGAATTAATTGATGCTATTAAAAATGAAATGAAAAAATAACCCTTTGAAAAATGGGTAAAGAATTATCTGAAAGTTCTGGGATTAATAATCACTACAGACAGTTTCTACACACTCTTGCATCCAGGTTCTTACCTTTCTTGGCAGATATATTATCACGATGTGAAATACTTAATAACAAAATTGATAAAAACACAAAAAGAAGAAACTAAATCAAATTGACTAGACTATATAGCCAAACATTTAAAAAGAAAAATTAAAAGTTTAAAATTTCGGCATCCTCTCTCCATTGTGCACATGTGTAGTTAAATCATCATAATCATTTTAGTCTAATAAAATCCTAAATCAATTAGAAAAGATCCAACTCAGTTAATAAGACGTTTGGCATATGAGAGAGGAGTTTCAGCTATGACAGTCCAAAGAGCAGTAAAAAAAAATACTTGAAAATGAAACTTAAAAGGTTAGAGTGGGTGAAGATCTTGAATAAGTTGGAAAATGATCCTGTAAAATTGTGTGTGAGTGTGTGTGTGTCACACAAATAACTTTTTTCCTACTTTGTCATTAATTTTCCTATTTTATCTCTCTCTCTCTCGCTATATATATATATATATATATATATATATATATATATATATATATACACACACACACACACACACACACCGGGTGTAACAGAAAATTTGTCCAAATCATGTAACAGCATAATTGTTCATCCCACAAAATGTATGTTTAATATCTAAAATACCACTAAATTGAGTTTCTTTTTTCCAAGTTTTTACGTAAGAGGTTTATCCATCTTGACACATTTATTCTAAGATTCACTGAAAAACCCTTAAGCTAGAAAGAGAACCCATGAAAATTGTTTTGTGTCAGCCCCACTGCCTTCCCAACTGAGCAATGGTGAGAGGAAAAAGATCATTCAGGCCTTCAGTAATGGTACCAATATTCATATTCTAGCTTCCATCTTCAAATCAATTCAAGAATCATCCAGATAATGGTGAATAAATTTGAAAAAGAGATCAGTAGAAAAAAAAATTGGATCAGGAGGTCACAACAAAAAGGGGATCATCATTTTAGCTTAAAGCTAAAGAAATCAATTAGAAAAGATCCAACTCACTTAATAAGACGTTTGGCATATGAGAGAGGAGTTTCAGCTATGACAGTCCAAAAAGCAGTAAAAAAAAATACTTGAAAATGAAACTTAAAAGGTTAGAGAGGGTGAAGATCTTGAATAAGTTGGAAAATGATCCTGTAAAATTATGTGTGAGTGTGTGTGTGTGTATATATATATATATATATATTAACTTTATTTCAATCTTTCATGAGTTTCTAATCCTTAGCTACGATTAATTAATGATGAACATGTCATTTTCGTTTATGATTGATTTCATCATGACCCTTCTGTAAAGCTTGGAGAGTAATTATGCATTCTTATTGTTCAAAGTAGAGCCCAATAGTGTTATAAAATCTTTTGAAAAATCCAGTAAGATATATTTAATCACTTCCAAGATACAACGGTTTAAAGCTTAATCTAACAATTGGACCATTCTGCTATTACACGATTTGGACAATTTTGCTGTTACATCTGGCATATATATATATATATATATATATACATGAATTATTCATACAAAACTAATGCAAAGGTTAATGATTTAAATGGCGAGACATCCATCTTGCAAACGATTCAAATAGTACACAAAAACCTCTAAATCCGTTATGCATGAGTTGATCCTTGTTTATATAAATTTCTGCCGTATTAGTTGTTATTTTTTGACTTAAGCTTTCGTCTGTTCCTACAGACATTTTCAATATATAATAGATGTTTGTTCTTGGTTTTTTTGGTCTTAGTAATAAGAACCACATCGAAAAATATATGTGTATTTTTTATCCGAAATGCTATTAAAAATGAGTTATTGGTTTTGAGCAACAAAAACAACATCTATGAGTTTGATTTTGAATTTTTTAAAATGTCTGCGTCTATACCAAATATGGTAATGAACAAATGTTTTTTACTGGTAAATTTTTGACAGTAAAAATTTACCAATAAAAAGGTTTTTTTGTTCATTACCATATTTGGTATATGGATGCGGGCTAAAATTTAAATCATTAACCTTGCATTAGTTTTGTATGAATAATTCATGTATTTGAAATTGATTGCACGTTTATTGTAATTTAAATATCTGATCCATGTGCGACTTTTTTTGGTTAATAAGTGCGACATTACTGTAATTATTGAACAATATAGTTCATGCCACTTTGACAGTAAAAAAATTTACCAGTAAAAACATTTGTTCATAACCATATTTGGTATAGACGCAGACATTTTAAAAATTCAAAATCAAACTCAGCGTTGCTTTGGCGTTCAAAACCAATAACTCATTTTTTAATAGCATTTCGGATACAATACACATATATTTTTCGATGTCCTCTTATTACTAAGAGAAAAAAAACCAAGAACAACATCTATTATATACCTGACGATGTCTGTAGGAACAGACGAAAGCTTGTAGTAAAAATAACAACTAA